TTTTGTGAAATTCAATTGTATTTCATACTTTAATTATTTTTTTAATAAATAATAACCTCATTATTTGTGAATGAGAGTGAGAAAGTTCAAAATGGTAGAGTAATTAGTAATCATTAAAAATATAGACTTCATTACCAAATTTCATTAAAAATGTTTATCAAAGAAATAATTAAAATTGATAGAATTTGAATTAACCAATTTAAATGTTTAGGAATTATTTTGGTTAAAAGATTTAGAATTAAACTCCATACTTTTTAATCCAATCAAATATAAGTATAATAATCTTTTTTTAATAAAAATAAAAACAGTGGAATGGATAATAAGTTGGGAGATAATTACATCATGTTATATAATTTAAAATAAAAATATGTATATAAAAAGTGTATAATGACAAATGAAATCTACAAAATTTTAATTAAATCAAACACAATCATGTGAATTCAAATCATTAAATTAAATTAAAATGAAATTTTTTTGTATTAAATCAAGCACAATAGATTTAAAAATTGTATTCCACGCTTTTCTATAGAATAAAAGTTTGTGCCCTCCGTTATCAAATTGGAAGATGGTTGAGTCCTTTTTAAAACTCCTATATTTTTCAGCTTTTTGATGAGTAATATATTTTTCTTTTAAATATGTCTAGTTGTCTACCCATCTGCACCATTTAAAATAATTTAAAGTAACTCTTTAAAAATTTTATAAAAATGTAAAACGCTAAAACTATTGGATAGCTATTGAACCTAGCCCAAACTTGAAACCTAGTTAATCTCCATTCAAAAAAAAAAAAAAAAAGACAGTAAGATTAATTTTTTATATTTTCTAATTACTCTTCCGCAAAGAAACAAAAAAATGAAATAAAATAAATTAAATGAATTAAGTACCTTATCGTTGAAAAGTGAGATGCCCCTGCAATTACCACTGTTGAAGAAGCTAATCAGTTTTGGCAGTTGTTCTAATTTTAAGGACCGCAGAGGCGCAGACTGCCACCAAGCTTACATCCTTCACTTTCTTCAACGATATCATTTCCGTTGCCTTGCTCCTCCACGTCATCAATAATCTCTTCAATGTTGTCGCAACTTCTTACTGTTATTTCTTGAAGTTGAAGCTGTCTGGCCATGGAGAAGGAGAACAGATTCTTCAATTGATGACATTCAACAACCATTATCTTTCTTAATACTTTAAAAGGTGCTGCTCCAGTCAAACCATGACGTATCATCCCCATTTTTTCCAAATTGAAAAGAGTCAATACCTCCAAGATGGGAAATACATGGGAAGGAAGCAACCTCCCTGCTGGGTTAAAGATGCATCGAATGTCTGGAGCATCTTCGACACAGAGACTCTTCAGATGTTGAAAACCTTCATCATCTAACTCACAAACTAAATTCTCAACACCATTTAATCCCTGTAAGCACAGTTCTTCTGTCTTCTTCAACAACTTTTTAAGTGAGTCATCAGATTTAATGCTTGCACCCTGTAGCTTTAGCTTCATTCTTCTTGAGCTTTCAAAAGAGCCTTCCCAAGGGTACCACACTTCCACTTCTCCTAAGAAAATCTTGAACCTTCTTAGATTTTCAGGGAACAAAATTGCTCGGAAATTAGGAATACGTACCTCTAAAGCAGTTAGCTTATGCAACACTGCTAACTCATCAAGCCTAGCATTTCCTTCCTCCACATTCCATTGGTTGAAGCTGTCTCCCATTTTTAGCTCTTCCAAAGATCTGGACAAACTTGCTAAGACTTGTCGTGGAATTACTCTTAGTTTGGTGCAGTCACTCACATCTAAAATCTTTAGCTTGCTCAACTTCTCTGTTTCTATCGGCAACTCTTCAATATCACAGCCTGCAAGGCTAAGGACCTCTAAATTCTCCAGATTCCCCATAATGGCTCTGAGGCCTTCGACTTTAAACGCACATCGATCTAGAAGTAAGGAATGAAGGTTTGTTGGGATCAAGGGAATTGGCAAAGGCATTGACTTAAAGTCAACTTTAGTCAAACACAAGACATGGAGTCCATCTGCTTTTTTAAAGAACTCTGATGGAAATTGTAGAGACTGAGCCTTGTTAGACAGATAAAAGAAAGTGAGCTGCGGACATTGGAACTCATTGGCTGGAAGCTCAATATCACCATTCGGCAAAGAAAGCCACTTCAATTTTTCTAATGACTTCTTATCTTTCAACTTTCTCCTTGCAGCTTCATCGACTAAAGCTAATCCACCGCGGTCTCTGAAAGCAATATAGAAGGCAACCTCCTGAATCTGATCGTGCATCTCAAAATGCAAACTGCTCTCACCATCAACTAACAAAGATGAACTTTTGAGATGACAAACCAAGCTTAGTACTTTGGCTCTAGTCTCTTCTATTGTGTTCACCTTTTGAAATAAATCCAAGCCCATGCCACATTTTAACAAGTCATCGATCGAAGAGTTACGGCTTAACAAACTACAAAGAATGAATGTTTGCTTGAGCTCCTCTTCTTTCAAGTTAATGTAATTCAACTCTATGGGATTATAAACAGCTGCAGATATCCCCTCTGGGGAAGGCTTTTTTAATTCTGTAAGAGCATTGTCCCACTCAAATTGTTTAGTCTTCCTTCTCATGGCCTTTCCAACAGATACAATAGCAACAGGCAACCCGAGACATTTCTCAACAATCTCTTTAGCTTTCTGTTGAAAATCAGAGTTTTCAATATCGCTGCCAACAGTCTTCTTGAATAGATCCCATGGTTCATCATCTTCTAATTTACGCACCTCAAAGATCGGATCTTTCTCATCTATTATAGAAGAGAGAACATGGTGAAATCTGGAAGTTAGTAGAATCTTGCAGAGCATATCTTCTTCTCCAGATGAGCTTTCTTCATTCTTTCTCTCCATAGCCTGCTTCATCTCACTTTCAGAAGGGATTCCGAATTTCTCGAAATGTTGTTCTACATCAGTCTCCCAAACATCATCCAAAATAAGAAGTACTTTCTTCACTTCCTTCAGCTTTGCCCTTATTGGATCTGCAAGTTGTCGATGTGTATCCGTGAAAGAAAGAAGATCCATATCCAAGTCGCGTGCGATCTCTTCTTGAATACTTTTCACTTCCCAGTCCTTCGTCACCGCAGCCATAACTACTGCAGTGAACAAGCTGTCTTTCTTGGCTTTTGCTTTAACCATTTTTACAAGCATCGTCTTCCTCATCCCAGAAGTCCCATGCAGTCCGATCCTGTTAACGGTTGGACTTCTTAGTGCCTCCATGATCTGGTCCAAAACAATCTTTCTCGAGCCGAACTCCTCAAAACATTTCACAAGTGTAGCCACGTCCTGTTGTGGAGGAGGAGCGTGGGAAAGTGAGAGGCTCCCGAATTGACTAGCTACTTTCAGATGTTCAACAATATTCTTGGAATTCTTCTCTGCTTCTTTGCTGAGCTTGTAACGAGGAATGAGATTGGGACACAACCGAAAGAAACACTCCTTCTTGGCAAATTCATCACCATCTCGTACAGGTTCCTCTGCCGCTTTGATGAATTTGTCTGCATGAGTCAACCAAGTCTGGACTGTCTCATCAATCACTTCTCCTTTTCTGCCAACATCCGCCTTATGGTTCTCCACCTGCTTCTTTTTATCCTTCAGCTTCTCAACTTCGCTCTTCAGATTCTCAACATTCTCGGTGCAGTCGCGCACAACAGTGATTGGATTTAAAATAAAATTTAAAATCCGATCAGCTATGTTCTCAGCAACTTTTTCAACAACAGCGTTGGTAAATGGATCGGACATTTTTTTTTTTTTTTTGGTTTTTTGGGAAGGGAGGAGGGGTTTTCAGAAATATGCAGATGATAAAACGAAATCAGAGACAAAACAAGTGAACAACAAGGCCAAAGAAATCAAATAGTGGGAAGAGTACTGGAATTGAAGAGATGGATATATAATGCATAAAGGAATTGGTTGAGGAGAAGGGAATGAAAAAGAAGGCTTTTTTTTTTATGGG